TTTTCTAATTTCTTTTTTTTTTGAGTTGGAGTCTCACTCTGTCACCCAGACTAGAGTGCAGTGGCCGCTCCCGGCCACCGCAGCCTCGACCTACCGGGCTCCGGCGATCCTTCCGCCTCAGCCTTCCCAGTAGCCGGAATTACAGGCATGCGCTACCACGCCCGGCTGATTTTTTGATTTATTGTAGAGATGAGGTCTTGCTGCCCAGGTGGGTCTCGAACCCGCGGGCTCAGGCAATCCACTCACCTCAACCTCCCAAAGGCACGGGATTACAGGCTGAGCCACCGAGCCCGGCTTGTTTTCTAATTTCTATGATCTGTTGTGACCCTGGTGTTATGGTGGCTTTTCCTTTGAAGCCCTCTTCCTCTTTGTCTAATTTCTTGGCCTTCATTCTGCTATCCAAGGCTGCTGTTGGTGTATCTTTTTTGTATTTGAATGACTGAATGCTTATACTTGCAGAGATATGAGGCGGGCCCCCTAAAAACCAGAATTATCTTCTGGGGGACAGGCCTTTTGTAGCATAAGCTTCCCTGCTAGGTAAGTGTCCTAGGAACCCGTGGTCATCAGTGTATCAGCTAGTGTTGCTGTGAGAGGCTGTGTTAGGCATCAGTGAAATTTTTTTGTGGAGATTCAACCTGTTTGTCCATTTCATGAAGGGTGATTTGTGAGCGTACCAGCCCACACCGAATTGAGTGTTCAGCAGTTTTTGACCAGAAATCGCATGACCCCCATGCTTCATCCTCTCTGGTCTCACTCCGAGAAAGTTTTTCATTTCCCTGATGAAAAACGTCCTCCGAGGGAAACATTTTGAAATTAAAAACAGCAGAAGCACTAAAAGGCATCAAAACTGCTGAGTTCAAAAACTGTTTTGGGCAGCGGAAAAAGCATCTCAATAGCTGTATTGCATCAAACGGAGAGTCCTTTGAAGGTGACTGAAGTGTAAACATGTAAGAATAAATACACAATTTTTTATGACTAAATTCTGGTGTTTTGGGGTCCCCCCCCCATACTTTTTGGTGAGACCACAACCTGCCAGGCTCTGCCGAGGCACAGAGAAGACATAGGTAAACAGGACACTTGTCCTGTCCTCAAAGTGACCAAGACATGGACATGCATGCTCCTACCTATGGCATCAAAGAGAAGGACACTGTCCATGTCAGGGGAGATGCGTTTAGAGGAGAGAAGACACTGGAATTCGCACCGGGTTATATGTCTTCAGGGCAAGCGTTGCACTTATTTAATTGTGGTAAAATACACACAACCTCAAGTTGATGGTCTCCCTCATGACATTCACATGGTCGTGCTGCTGCTACCACCATCTATCTCCAGAACTCTTTCACCTTGTAAAACAGAACTCTGAGCCCACAAACCACCCACTGCTCCCCCTAACTCCTGGCCGTCACCCCTCCACTTCCTGTCTCTCTGAATTGGACTACACTGGGTACCGCATGGAAGGGGAATCATACAATATTGGTGTTGCTGTGACCAACTTATTTCATTTAGCAGGATGGTCTCAAGGTCCATCCATGTCGTAGCAGGCATTAGAATTTCCTTCCTTTTTTAAGACTGGATGATGTTCTGTCGTATGCATAGACCACATTTTATCTGTCCATTCATCTGCTCATGAACACTTGGCTTGTTTCCCCCTTTTGACATTTGTAAATAATGCTGTAATGAACCTAGATGCATGGTCTCAACTTTTGAGTCAAAGTTGTACGCTTAGATTTCTTTTTTTTTGAGTTGGAGTCTCACTCTGTCGCCCAGATTGGAGTGCCGTGGCTAATTTCTTAAGCCTTGTGATCTGATGTGTTTTCTTTTCTGTCTCTGCTAGATATTTGTGCTTTCAAAGCCCCTATAATGTAGCCTTTCTCAATGTGCCGTATTTATGAGAATAGATGGGCAAAACATTCCACGGAGTAGGTTGGAGATGTCAATGAGTGTGGTGAAGTCACGCTCCCTGCTTCCTTTTCCTTCCCAGGGTTTGCAGTGACAGCGCAGGTGGACGAGCGCCAGCATCTCAGCCGGATATTTATAAGTGATGTCCTCCCTGATGGCCTGGCGTATGGGGAAGGTTTGTGCGGCATGCTGTGTCTCTGTTCTCCCTCTGTTTGAAACTATGAGATGCTGTCTGGCTGTTGAGTTTTTCTTTTTACAGCTTTGTCAGAAAATAATTTCTTCTAGAATTTAAAAGAAAGTAAATGGAAGAATCTAATTGAAAATGCAGCCCAGGAGTGGTGGTGCCCAGCTACTACCCAGGAGGCTGAGCTATTTGGGAGGCTGAGGTGGGAGGACCACTTGAGACCAGGAGTTTGAGGCCAGCCTGGGTGATAATAGCAAGACCTTGTGTCTACAAAAAAATATTTAAAAAAAAAAAAGTCAGACATGGCTGGCGCACTCCTGTAGTCCTAGCTACTCAGGAGGCTGAGGCAGGAGGATCACTTGAGGCCAGGAGTTTGAGGCCAGCCTGGGCAATATAGAAAAAAAAAGAAGAAGCAAGGAAATGTTTTCGCCTATATGGAGAGAAAGATTTGTGTGTGTGTGTGTGTGTGTGTGTGTGTGTGTGTGTGTGTGTTAAAAGAGAGAAAACGTATACATAGACATATATAGATAGAGTGAAAGAGAGTATGAGATAGACAAAAAGTATTTCCCAGACATTTAACATCAGAATGCTAGAAGAACAATTAATGAGTGGCTCCCAAATTGTTTCTCTTTCAAATTATTTATTCTAATATTAGTGCTGAGAGCTAAAATTTGTTATCAGCTATGCATGATACTATGATTTTTTTTTTTTTTTTGGACAGGGTCTCACTCTGTCACCCAGGCTGGCGTGCAGTGGTGTGATCATAGCTCACTGCAGCCTCGAACTCCTGGGCTCAACCGATCCTCCTGCTTCAACCTCCTGAGTAGCTGGGATTAGAGGCACACACCACCACACCTGGTCGGTGCTTTCTTTGAAGAAAGCAACAAGCAAGACAGTCTCTAAGAGTACATGGTTTGAATTTGCAGTCTTTCATCTTAAAATATTTCCCTCAGCTGGGTACGGTGGCTCCCGCCTATAATCCCCGCACTTTGAAAGGCCGAGGTAAGAGAATTGCCTGAGCCCACAGGTTCGAGATCAGTCTGGGCAACTTGGTGAGACCTCGTCTCTACAATAAATCAAGAAAAATGAGCTGAGTATGGTGGTGAACGCCTGTAGTTCCAGCTACTTGGAAGACTGAGGCAAGAGGATCACCTGAGCCCAGCAGGTTGAGGCTGTGGTGGCCGTGAGTGTGCCACTTCCCTCTAGCCTAGGCAATAGAGTGAGACTCCGACTCAAAAAAAAAGTACATGATTTGAATTTGCAATCTTTCATCTTAAAATATTTCTCCCAGTAATTTCTTTTTTCTTTCTGTTTCCCCCTCATTGCTCCCAGGACTGAGAAAGGGCAATGAAATCATGACCTTAAATGGGGAAGCTGTGTCTGATCTTGACCTCAAGCAGATGGAGGCCCTGTTTTCTGAGAAGAGCGTTGGACTCACTCTGATCGCCCGGCCTCTGAACACAAAAGCAACCCTGTGTACGTCCTGGTCGGACAGTGACCTGTTTTCTAGGGACCAGAAGAGTCCACTGCCACCTCCCAACCAGTCCCAGCTTCTGGAGGAATTCCTGGATAACTTCAAGAAGAATACAGCAAATGGTGAGGCTTTGTTCTCTCTTCTTTCTTAACTGCTGTTCTCAACAGCCAATATTTTTAGACTGCAATTTTGCTTGCAAACTCAGCTTATTTAAGCTGTTCAAAGAATGTTTTCTAATTTATTAGCAGAGGAACACAGATGCCAACAAGAGTGGATTTTATCAAAATTCCATGCATTTTAGTAATTATAGCTCTTTCATGAAAATAGAAAATCATTATTTTGGCACAAATTAACATTAAAAAAAATCACAGACACTTTAAAAATCACCCACAATATTTAGTATCATAGTTGCTCTGTGATTAAAGACAGATGAAAGTCTGCCCAAATGCCAAAGTTGAAAGACTTTTCTGGCCGGGCACAGTGACTCACACCTATAATCCCTGCACTTTGGGAGGTTGAGGTAAGAGGATTGCCTGAGACCATGGGTTTGGGATCAGCCCAGGCAACTTGGTGAGACCTCGTCTCTACAGTAAATCAAAAAATTAGCCGGGCATGGTAGCGCACGCCTGGTTTCGACTACTTGTAAGGCTGAGGTGCAAGGATCGCCAGAGCTCAGCAGGTTGAGGCTGTGGTGGCCGTGAGTATGCCACTGCACTCCAGCCTCAGCCACAGAGTGAGATTCCAACTCAAAAGAAAAAAGAAAAAGAAAGATAGATTTTTCTTATTTAGTTGACTCTAAGGCAAAACCATCTGCTGGGCTCTTGGAACAGCCAGTGCAGTTCAGCCTTTCACCTCTGTGTTAGGTTCTATCTTCTCAATAAACAGCAGACATTTAGTGTAGGTCATGGATTTTAGAACTATGTGAAGGCCTACAAGGAAAAGATCAGAGGCCAGGGTGTTTTTTATCAAGGTAAAATTTCCAGATGAGGAAATCGTGTGAAGGTCTGTATGTCTGAGCTTACCATTCCTGCGTGTTTCACCCTGCCATTCCCCTCTGTGCCCCTGGTGGGCGCCGGTCAAGCTCTTTATCCCGGGAAGGTCCAAAGTCATTTTGATACTTAATTTACAATGATCGTGGATTTCCAGTGACAGTCTCCCCATGGTTACCCAAAGTAAATGAAAAATACACGAGAGGAGTTGTTAGGGTGGGTTTAATTAGAAAGGCAGTTTATTAGGTCATTTTTGGAATTAAAAAATCAGATGGTAAGATTTGTGGTTCAGTAAGGTACCTAGGATTTTTCTCTTCTTCTCTCGGGACTTTCCTCTAATTTAAAATGCCATTAAATGGACTGTTGGCATATAAAAGGGACCGTCATAAAACAAAAATGATGATGGAATTAATTAATTACATGGGTATGTCAGGGCCATTGCTCATTGACCCCAGGTAGCAATTAAAGGCCTGAGTATTCCATATAACACCCGTGTGTCCATCTGCAGGATTCATCACTCTTGAGGGATACATTTACCACCCGCAGCGTAGCTCTAAGTATTTTATCGTAATATCATAATCAGAAATTACTGTAGAGGCTAGCACACTTTGGGATCTCGTAGGAATGAATTTCTAGAAAAGCAGCAAAAAGGACACACTTACCTTTTTTTTTTTGGAGTTGTGGTCTCAGTCTCCCAGGTTGGAGTACAGTGATACAATCATGTGGCTCACCACAGCCTCATACTCCTGGGCTCAGGAGATCCTCCCACCTCAGCCTCCCAAGTAGCTGGGACTGCAGGTGTGTACCACCACACCTGACTAATTAAAAACATTTTTTGTAGAGACGAGATCTCGCTATGTTGCTCAGGCTGGTCTTGAACTCCTGGACTCAAGCGATCCTCTCACCTCACCTCGCCTCCCAGAGTGTTGGGATTACAGGTGTGAGCCACTGCTCCTGGCCAATTTGCCTTTTTTTTTTTTTAATAGTATGAATCAAGCAGGTGAGTTGAGCTTGTTCTTTGCTTTTTGGCAAGGAGACAGAATGAAGAGGTGGTCCGGATCTGTAGACAGCTATTCCGGTAGTCATCCGTGAAAAGGTACAGGCTTTGCCTCAGAGCTGGGTTCGAGTCCTGGGCTGCCTTTTACTGGTTAGGGGCAGCCCTCCACCAGTGAGTTCCGGGGCTTGGTAGAGGCTACCCCAGCTGCCTCACCCCTTGAGGAGATAGGTGACCCTTAGGAAGCCCTTCTGGCGGTCTAATCCTTTAGAACTTACCTCACCCCTCCTGCTGTCTCTGTGTACAGCAACTTGCCTGACCAACCAGGGGTACTAGTGTCTCACACCTAGTCTTCTTGCTGGTACCTACATGGATGCAGGAGCCACTGACCCCTTCCGGTGTTGTGGCAAGACCATGTTCCATGGGGGTGACAGTCTCCCAGGCAGCGCACCGTCCCCCTCTGCCCTGGGTTTTACATTTGTCCCTGTTTCTAAGCTCCAAGTGACCATTCCATAGTGATGTGCTTGTGTTGGTGACAAAAATACCATGATGGACTGCTTCCCCAGACACTTGGCAAACGTGGACTTTTTGTTTTTCTTTTTGACTTAATTACATTGTGTGTGGAGGAAGTTAAATGCCTGTGAGTGGACTTCTGAGAAGGAGGTCTGTCCATTTTGAAGGTGGGGGGAAACAGAAAATAAGGGTGGGTAGGTGAGAAATGGAATGAGAAAAGAGAAAAAAAAGTTGAATCTCTCATTTGGAAGTAACATCAGCATTACAAGCAATGCCTGTGCTTGGGGGAGGTGTGAGAGGTGGCATAGTGGCAAGGATACAGCTTTGAGTCAGAGCTGGGTTCGAGACCTGGGCTGCCCTTTACCAGTTAGGGGCAGCTCCACCCCAGTGAGTTCTGGGCCTTGGTAGAGGCCTCCCTGGCTTCTCATGCCTTGAGAAGATGGTTCTGAGGTATGGGCCATAGTGTTCTTCAGGTGGCCATGGCATGAACCCCAGCGCCTGCCACAACTCCCGTAGACTTTCTGCCCTTCTTGTCCCAATTTTCCTGCTCTCTCACGTGGGCTTCTTGGGACCAGCTGCCGAGTAAACTTCTGTGCTCAGACTCTGCTTTTGGGGGAGCCCAAATGAAGACTCCCAGCCTCAGGTCCCTCATCTGAAGGGTGAGGTTTCTCCTCCGACCCTGTGGACTGCTGTGATTTTGAGACTGGGAGTTCACATCTGTGGCACATACAGGACATGGCAGGAGTTCTGAAAATGTGATTCTCCTCCTCTGTAGCTTAATATTTTGTTAAAAATTTCTTTGATTTAGCTGGGCATGGTGGCTCACACCTGTAATCCCAGCACTTTAGGAGGCTGAGGCGAGAGGACTGACTGAGCCCACGAGTTTAAGACCATCCCGGTCAACTTGGCAAGACCTCATCTCTACAATAAATCAAAAAATTCACTGAGCGTGGTGGGGTATGCCTGTGGTTCCAGTTTCCTGGAGTGCTGAGGTGGACGGATCACCTGAGCACAGCAGGTCCAGGCTATGGTGGCCATGAGCATGCCACTGCACTCCAGGCTGGGCAACAGTGAGGCTCCTACTCAAAAAAAAAAAAAATTACTTTGATTTGAGGCCAGGCATGGTGGCTCTCACCTGTAATCCCAGCACTTTTGGAGGCCAGGGTGGGAGAATTGCTTGAGTCCAGGAGTGTGAGACCAGTCTGAGCAACATAGTGAGACCTTGTCTCTCCAAAAAATAAAAAGAAAAATTAGCTGGTGAAGTGGCATGCACCTGTAGTCCCAGCTACTCAGGAGGCTGAAGTGGGAAGATTGCTTGACCCAGGTGGTAGAAGGATGCAGTGAGCTGGGGTGGCACCACCGCATTCTCCCCCGGGCTATAGAGTGAGACCCCGTCTAAAAAAAAAAAAAGTTACTTTGATTTGTTTTTCTAATAAATTAGAAAACAGTGTTCATTTTCTACTTTTAATTTTTTGACTAAAATTTTTAAAATTTAAATACAAAATTTCAATGACTGTGGAAACCAGTTTTTAATATAACTTTGAATTATCCTTGGCAGTGGTCATTTGAGAGTCTGCCTTGACCTAAATTTCACACTCCCTGGACATTACTAGAAGGCAACCATGTAACTGAAAAGGAGGAAGGTTCTGTTTTCTTTTCTAGAGAAGCTAATCCCTTGCCTGTTGTAAAAATCAAATGGCTAGCTCTCTGGAAGAGAAGACCTGCTTTTTAAAAATAGGAATGATAACTGGATGTTGTGGCTCACTCCTGTAATCCCAGCATTTGGGAGGCAGAGGCGAGAGGATTACCTGAGCTCAGGGGTTCAAGACCAGCCTGAGCAACATGGTGAGACCTCGTCTCTACAATAAATCAAAAAATCAGCTGGGCATGGTGTCACATGCCTGTGGTTCCAGCTACTTGGAAGACTGAGGTGGAAGGATCACCTGAGCCCAGCAGGTCAAGGCTGTGGTGGCTGTGAGCGTGCCACTGCACTCCAGCCTGGGCAACAGAGTGAGACTCCAACTCAAGGAAAAAAAAAAAGCTAATTATAAGAACATCAGAAGGTAGAAGAAGAAAGCCTGAAGCAGTTGTTTTGAGCATATCTTGACCACTCAAGTGGGATATTTATGGATGCCCTGTTGAGTGCTTTAGATGTGTGGGAGCCCTGGGAACAGCTTCATGAAGTTCAAGGCTTTCAGTCTACTTTTGGTTTTGGTCAGATATCCAGAAATTTTTGTTGATTAGCTTTCATCTCTTGATCAGTTTCAAGAAAAAAATCTCTATCCCCTCTCTCTCTCTCCCTCCCCCACTTCTTTCTCTATTTCCATCTCCCTCTCCCTTTTCCTCTCTCTCCCTTTTCCTCTCTCTCCCTCTGTCTCTATCTATCTCTGTCTCTATCTCTATCTCTGTCTCTATCTCTATCTCTATCATCTAATCTCTGACTGAAAGAACTGTTAGTCACAGTGGCAGGTTCCAGGGAGCCAGCGAAATGGTTGTGAGTTGCTGTTCATGTTCTATGCTTTTCTAGAAAAGAAACACCCTACCGGTATTTGACATTCATTGATGCATACAGTGTTTAGGGAACTGGGTCTCAAACTTCCTAGCACATAAGACTCTCCTGATGAGC